GATGGCAGCTGATTTTATTCAGGATTGTATTTATATCTAATTTTTTGTTTTATTTTGAATTCTAATAGAATATTTCAATGGTCATAATGATGAAAATTCAAAAAATTATCAAACTGGTTTAAATTCTTTGTCTAATTTAACTGAAAAATTAGCTGAACAAAATGATATTGATTTAACACAATCATCAACTGATTCATCAAATAATGAACAAACATTATTAACATCACCAATAACAAATAATGAACGTAAACGTTCATTATTTAATGGTGGTAGTACACATAGTATACGTGCATCAACATCATCATTACAAAAAGCACCTGTTTATGCTAAAATTATTAAAGGTAAATAAAAAAAATAATTAAATATATATCAAATAAATAAATAAATAATTATTTTAGCATCATCAAAACCAACAAATAGTAGTGGTATGAGTACAATTGAACGTCTTCGTTTAAGTGGTTCACCACTTCGTCTTCTTTCATCATCACCAACATATACACGTACAACATCATTTTTAAAATCCAATCCAAATCATGAAAATAATAGTTTTCAATCATCATCATCATCATCAATAAAACATAATAAAATGAATCCAATAACATGGAAATTAAATCCAAGAAAATTAGATAGTTTAAAAGCAAGACGTAATAGTCGACATACAGATGATGATGATGATAATAATAATAATAATACAAATAATAATGAAACAAGTCAATTAACAATGACAACAACAATAAATCGTTCTAGACATGCAAGTGATTCTGATTTAACTAAAGAACATATGAAGAGAAAAAAATCAACTAAATTATCATCATTTTTTCAAACTGAAGTATAGTCATTATATATATATATATATAAAGAAAACAGTATGTGCCTTATAATTGTTGTTGTTGTTATTGTTGTTGTTCTTGTTTTGTATCTGTATGTCCCAATTATAGCCCGGTGTTATTTTTTTTCTCTTCTCTTCTCTTTCTGTCTCTTTCTTGCTATATTATATGGAATATTAAATAAATAAATGTGCACGAATTTTCATTTATCTGTACAATATTTTCGTCTTCTTTTTTTTTAAATGAATATATAAAAATAATGGTAAAATTATCATAATTAATAATCGAAATGAATGTTCTTTTGTTCTGTATATATATATATGATGAATATGAAACGTTGTTAATATATTTCATTTGTATGATACTGTTTGGAAACATTTTTTTTACAAGAATCTTATCGTCTATCGCTCTGCGTAATCAAATCGGTTTTTCTATGCTGAAAAAATAAGTTTTAACTAAAAAAGTTCGATTCCCCGATTAAATAATGGAAAATGAAATATGATAAGGAAATAGGATGTTGAATAGTTTTTGAATGCAACATTGAGATCGTCCATTCTAATCGAGTCATCATTAGTGCCTGGTCTGATGAAGTTTTTTGGTCACGATTACGGCGGCTTCATCATGATTGCAGTCATTCTTTCTAGTAGTTCATCGTAAGTGGTGATCTCTTTTCTTGAACGATGCTTATTACCAAGAAGAAAATTATGTTCTTAATTAATTCGATTCGGTACAATAGAATAGTAACATATACGTGTGTTTTCGTTTAACTGTACATGTACTTTTATTATGTTTTTTTGCTTGTTGTAATGTTTTTGTTACAGAAGAATTAGAATTTAAGAAAATTAAAAAATTTTCTCAATTCTAATTTCTTCTGTAACGTTTATGTCTAGTTGTTTTGATTCAGAAGAAATGAATAATTTATCTCAATAAGCTAAGAATATGAAATTATTTTTGTTGTAGAAAAACTGATGCAGTCAATACAGACACAGGATATGTGACTATTTTAGTACTTGTGACCATGATAACCGTGAAGTATAGCGGTCACGCCGGGCACTAGTCATCACTACTTCGTACTAAAACATGACAGGGGGATTCATTGGAACATATGTGGAGAAAGTTATATTGAAAATACAATTATTCGGTCGTTTAAACTTATTTTCATCGGAAAGTGATTACAGTAAAACCACTTTATATGAGCATCTGCTTATTTTGAACAGTGGATGCTTATTTTTGGTTCTATGATTAATAATAATCTCTGTAATGTGAGCAACATATGTTCTATCATTCATGTGCGAAACGAAAAAAAATGATGTTATGTGCATTGTATTATGACAAACAATCATGAGGCAGGGGATGGACTAGCCGTGGATGTTTAAAAGAAAGAAAACGCCAATATTAGACAATAGTAGCAGTGCTTGGTGTAACATCTAGTTGATTTGGTATTAACCGTTAGTAACATCAAATCATATCAGTATGTGTTGATTTACCTCTGATTAAAAAAGTTCAATTAATAAATTAGTGGAAACAAACAAAAGATCATCTTGTACAATCGACAAGCAATGGCATTGAATACTTATAGGTTATGATAGAAGAAAACTAAAAACCTTCCCATAATGAACACTTTTCGATCGGTTCCGATCGTGTCTACATTAGAGAAGTCTGTAGAAAAAATATTGGTGAATTAGTAATAAATCAAATTCGATTCTTACTGAAAAGTATTGGCAACATGTAAGTGACAACAAGCATGTTTCAAAGTGTTTTGTTCTATTTCACAAAATCTATACAAACGAATTGACTTATCCAAATATAGAACTCTTATATTTAGGTTTAACATGTAGATTTGTTATTACTGTTCAAAAACTTATCAAGAATATTTTGATGACTTCTAAACAATTGTATGAAAATTTATTTTATAAATCGAATTGAAAATTATATTAGAACTTAAATAGTAATTAATATTTATCAGATTATATTGATTAAATATCTTTTACATAAGTCTCAGAAAAAAAAATGGAAAAAGAAAAGAAGTTTAATTTTTTTCGTTAACTGTATATTTTTTATTATTTTTTCTTTTTCTTCTTTGTTGCTTTTTCGTATAAAGTATAACAAAAAACAAAGTCTATATTTATTCTCGAATAAAAAAAAAAAGTGTTTTAATACATAATATGCTTTAGCTCATATTAAGAAGAGGTACAAAATGATTAGGTACCCATTCTCTTTTTTCTTTTGATAATCCATTGTTGAGTCTGTGACAATTAGAAAAAAGTAGTCTAACATTTTGTACTATCGACGATGTTTCTGATTTCTTTTCTTGATTATTGGCAGCATGATGTTCTACCAATGGTATAAATTGAGCATTATTCAGATACTGACAATTTAAATCATCAGGACCATTGACTTTCGGGTAAGCACAAGTTAAATGGATATTTAATATGGTTGGTATACTAAGTAGATCCCAAACAGCTGCATAATTTGTATCACGTACCATTTCTCGTCTAACATAGTCTTCAAACTTATCAAGAATTGGTGATAGACGATCATATTGAGATCTATATACATCTGTATTAAGAACAAGTTCGACAACATTTCGTGCTCGAAGTTCAATAGGTGTTAATGTAGATCCATCAGTAGTTGAAGCATTTCCCGCTAACTTAACAAATGTATTATAAAAACAATTTCCATCACCAGCAATTGATAGTGGTATAGAATTACGAAAATGTTTATCACAATATTGTTGAACATAGTGTTCAGAAATTGGATCACGCATATGAATACTTGGATCAAATACCTTAGCTGGAGTATAAATAAGTGAATATAATTTTAAAATTGGTTGTAATAATTGACATTCATGTACAAGTTCATCATATGATTTTTCACTAGCTATACGTAAATTTGATAAAAATTTTCTAAATAATTCTGAACGTATCAATTGAGAACAATCAAGACATAAAGTTTCTCGATCAGCAGGTATTTTTTGTTGTTTACAGAGAACACAATAACGAGCTGATGGTTTTGGTGGTACAGGTGGCGGTATTTTAGGTTTTTTAAGTTGTTCACTTGTATCATCATTCATTTGATCGGTCTTATTTGCATCTTTATTTACTTGTTGTGCATAATCAGTCCATTCTTGAACAAAAACATCGTATGTAGCACGATCCCATAAAACAAATCGAACATCTTTTATATTATATGAAAATCGTCTTATTGAATCAATAGCCACACGAGCTGCTTCATCTGGAGGAAAATGATTTGCTCCACATGATATTGCTGGATATGCAATTGAAGTAAGTTGATAAATATTAGCAAGTGCCAATGATGTATAATAACATGATTGTAATAAAAAACCAGCACGTTCTTTCTCTGGTTCTGTATAAATTGGACCTGCAGTACTAATAACAAAACGTGGATCATTTGGTTCACGATTAAATTTTCCAATAAAAATACGTGATTGTCCAATTGGACATGAATTTACTTGCATATCTTTATGCACTGCAACAACTTGATCTGTAAAAAATTGACCCATCTTTTCATGTATAATAGCATCTAAACCTCCATCAGGAACTAAAGATGAATTTGTAGAATTTACAATAGCATCACATGATTCTTGACTTAAGTCACCAAGTCGAATGACTACATCCAATGAACCATTAGTAAACGTAAAATGCATACAATTTTCATTAACTTCTTTAATATTACTAAATAAATAAATAACAGATGCTCTTTATATCTTATAGAGTTAATACTTACATGGCAGACATGTTTATAAAAATTATCTTATAACAAAAAAAAAAGAAGAAGAAACTAAGTATTTGGTAAAACGGAAATTTCCGAGTAAGCAATTTCACTTTCCAACTTGTTGCTCATGACCGAAGTACAAATCTTCGTCTGTTCTTTTCTTTATCCAAACGTAGTCAGGCAACACTACCGTCGGTTCCTTTTTTTCTTTCTGTTCTTGTTAAAAAAAAAGCACACCATCACGTGTTACGGTTATCAATGTCAAACATAACATACATTTGTGTCAGCAAAAATATAAAGGTAAAAAAATAAAAGATCGCATATTTTCAAGTATATTTTGTTCTTTTGAAGAAAACAAGAAAAAAGAAATCGACATCTCTACTTTTACACATTATTAAAAAAAAACAATGTCTAGTAAATATTATAGAACAGTACAATAAATATTCATTTTTAGCAAAGTGTTGCTACTGATTCATGTCGATAACGACGAAATTCAAATTCAACATCAATACGATAAACAGCTGTAAGAATACAACTAATGAATATACAACATGTACCGGCTACAAATGACCAAAATGAGTAACCATAAGCTGTTAATGTTTGAAGACGTTCAAAACCAAGAAATAATGCCAATGTTATCAATGCCAATACGACTTTAAATATAGAAAACAAAAAGATCAACAAATTAATATTTGTTGTTTTTTTAAAAAGATAAAAATAACAACAACATGAAAGAATTTACATACCAGCAAGAATATCAGCAATCAATAAACATTCAACCATATGTTTAGAAAAACGAAAATTGTTAAAAGATGTATTTGTATTGATTAATTGAGAAAGAAATAGAGCAATGATAGCAACGAATACACAACCAAATGACATACCAATCAATGCTTTTTGATAATCTGTTTGTTGTTTTGTTGTTTTAAAAAAAATAAAATAAAAATAAAAATATAGAATTTCGAATATACTTTTATTCTTCTCTAACCATTGTTTGAGAACATAATGTCATCGAAATGAAATCTATCTGAGACTAGGAAGCTGTAGGTTCTTACGGATCCGCACTCGGATCCACGTTTTCATGGATCCATACCCTCCTAGATGGGAAAGTGAACAACCAGAAATAACTGTACATTGACTTATTTACAACATGTTGCATGTCTCACAACGAACATCTTGCATTGCAATTTAATTTATCGTAAAGTATAATATATACGACATATTTTATATTCGTGTGTGCTATCCGATTATGCATCTATGACAATTCGCTTATCGATGTCTTGGATTCATCGCTAATAAATACTTAATAGCTTTTATGATGGTCTTATCTTTGTCATATTGTCCTATATATACAAGTATGCAATTAAATATCGATTAGATATAGTGCTATTGATTTCATATTTCTATCGTCGGTTCAATATATAATCTATATCAAATTATACTTTAAGTTCAAAGTTAACTTTATAAGAATAAACTTGATTGCAATTTTCTTTTTCTGTTTATTCACATATGAAATATTTTTGTAAGTTATTTTTTTTTCTTTTTAAACTTAATAAAAACAAATGTATCTTATATTTTCAAATAAACAATCAATATATACTTTCTTAAAATTATCAATTTCATGAAAAATTCTTTTGAATTAATGAGTATGAATATCAAAGTTCAAATTTTATTTAAGAACTATTAGACAAAATTTCAAAAGTGCTTTATTCTTATTGAAAACTATTTTATTCATAGTCGAATATTTTATATAGAATTTTTCAACTTACCTAATAATTCAGGTCCAATTATAGTTGCATTATGCCATTTGAGTAATCGGTTATAACATATATAAGCATCATCATATATATTTTTATCAATACTACTTGTTCCATTGTTTACAGTTAAATAGTTATCTGTATTACCTTGACGATAAAGTCGTTGACAAAATGATACAATACCATTTGATTTTTCGCTAATTATATGATCTGTATTATTATCAATAAGAATAAGCCATCTTGATGTTGTTATACCCAATATGAGAAGTGTAATTGCAAAAATTAATAGAATAAAATTAAAAAATAATAAACAACTCATGATTTCGAAAGGATAAACTTCCTTTTTCTTTTTTTGATTCCACAAACGTTCTTTTTTTCTCTGTTTTTTGTGTCTACTTCGCCGTCAGTTGGAGTCCGAAAAGAAATATGAATAACTGTGATAAGAACGAGCAAAGAGTTTATATGTGTATGCAAACAAATGTTGATGAACGTTGTATATAGTTGAAGTACGTGTAATTCAAAACTCTTCTCTCCTGCTTCTTTTGTGTAGATAAAGGCACATATATACATACATACAATACAAGAAAAAAATTCTCTCCTCCTTCTCTCTCTCTCTCTCTCTCTC